GTTGTCAGTTTAGAATATTTTGGTTGTTGCGTCAAACTGTGTTTGGGTCAAGGGTACAAAATCTTAGATTGACTTTGAAGCAGCTGATTTGTGCTTAAGAAAATAGATCCAGGCATGTCTGGAGAAATCGTCGATGAAGGTAATGTAATACTCTTTTCCGCCAAGTAAATCGACAGAAAATCGTCCAGATAAATCAGACCGTACAAGTTCAAATTTCTTGATGGCGCACTTATGCGTAGACTTAGGAGTTTTGCATATTGATTTACAACGAAGGCAGGTAATGCACGCAAAGGATTCGGGCTTTGAAGGGAAAAAGGGTTCAGCTTTTCGCAATCGAGACATGATCAAGGTACCAGCCTAACCAAGAGACCCATGCGCATCAAGATAGGAAGTAAAGGCTGATTTTTCTACCACTTTTTGGACAACGTATTGACCCAAATTAAGTTTAGTGAACAATTGTTCTTCATCATTTTTAATAACGCGCCGTTCACCATTACTTGAGACTATTTTAAATCCATCTTCATCTAATTTAGAATCTAACAGCAGCCTGACCCCTGGGCCTAGAACATACAAGACAATATTGAATTTGTCGATCTTTATTTGTTGATTACTTAGACGCACATCAAATTCGATGTTTCCAGAGCAGTGAATGGGTAAGACTGAACCTGATACCAATGAGATAGAGCTATTCTCAGGAGAAATTGATGTAAAATATTCTTTTAATGGTGTCAAATGAGGGGTAGCACCAGAGTCAAGAATCCATGGATGAGAGGTGAGAAAAGAACGTGAGACAAAGGCCTTTTCAACTGAAGGATCCAGCAATCGATGAGAGCTTGAATCGAGATTTTCGGTTGCAGCAGCTGTATGTGCCTTCTCCTTGTCTTTTTTGGTTCCTTTTCCTTTGTGAGCCTTCAACTGTCGAAATTCTGAGTGTGCGTGACCCTTATATTTCTTGTTCCTGGATTTACACCAGGAGCATTCTTTACTAGCCTTCGTGGCTTTATGCGTAACTGATTCTTTACCACCAGCGAAGTAGGCTGTGGAAGCACCAAGCGAAGCGGAATAGGCTGCTTGGATGTCATGTAGAAGCATGTTGACATCGGCAAAGGTGATATGTTCCTTGGACATGAGGTTTTCCACGATATTTTCGAAGGATCTAGGTAGAATGCGAAGAAATGACATATTTTTGCAGGATTTAGATGCAAGGAATTGTTTAAGATGTATTACTTCCTCCCAAGTTGAATCAGAACGCAGATTATAGTTGTGGGCGTATGTTATTTCTAAGTTGGAGATGAGATCGGATATTATATCGCCTTCATCCATTTTAAGCACTACAAGAGAGTTGGAAAGTTTAAGAGTTGATATAGCTGCTTCATGGTCAAAGTTGTTTTTCAAAGCTTGCCATGCGAGCCGAGCAGATTCGGGTTGGCCAACGAAGCCAGCAACAATCCTTTGGAGATCAGTGGATACTCCAGCGAGAAATGCAGCAAGTGCAGCGTTGTTTCCTTTGTCGTATTCTTTCTGTTCTTTTGTTCGAGTATTCTTCACTTTTTCCGTGTAGCCCGAGCTGGAATTCGAGAGTCGAATTTCTTCGTTATCAAGATCCGTGATGACACCTCTGTAGTCGGATATCATCAGAACGACTTGCCACGTCTCTGTCTATATCCGATACTGGGACTGAGAGGACAGCTGGGAAAGATTGGCTTCGAGGGATTGAACAGATATGGAGGCTGTGTCGGCGAATATGGTTGAGGGAGGAGCTAAATCCGGGCCCATGGCCTGTTGTGAGGTTAAAGATCGAGAGGGATTTCGGGCTGTCGGAGAGGAAGGAAGATTGGTATTCGAGCACAGGGGCAGGTGAGCAGAGCTTTTGATGTAAAGCTGTCGAGTTGACGAGAGCGATGAATACCACTCTTCCTTGCTCTCCAACAGCCCGAAATCCCTCTAGATCCTTAGCCTCACAACACATAGTTGGCTAGTTTTTATAGTGCCAGCTGCACTCCCACTCGCTTCTTTCTCTGTAGTAGTAAAGATCAATCTAGTCTTGGCTCTACGGAGCTTGATTATTTCTGGATCATAAAATACGTATTAATACAGTAACTGTGTAAAGTAAATAAGACGAGCCGTTTTCATTATATTAATTTTTATTTCATTCTAGAACAACGCAGACGTTAAACTGAGCCATTGGGAAAAGAGATTTCTAGACAGCTTTGACAGAATTAACAGTTCCTTGCGTGCAAAGGGGAGAATAGACGTTATTTACACGTAATCTCGATGCAACATGCTCTTTTTAGTGCAGCGATTTATATCTGATGCATCTGTCCTTTAAAAGATATTGCTCTAGCCATATACATTCTGACTCCTAGCTCGAGAGGTTGTCGCTGCAAATTTTCTGAAGAATAATCAACTGCGTGCACCAAGCCTTCACAGTGCTCGTCTACTGGACCAGGCGCGGCGAGTTATTTACTCAGATTCCTCTTTCCACCCACCTTGTGTCATCTCAGTGTCCGGATCTGTCGTCACAAGCACTTCCCCCAGATTATCGGCTGAGATATTCTTAAGTATTCCTTGAGAAAACGCGACTATAGCCATGGGCAGCATAAGCATCGAGTTGGAATTCATCGAATTTTGCGTTGTTGACATTGTTCCTAGTTGGCAATGAGGAGTTTCGTGAATATGAAATATTAGAAGCGCAAGCCTTATTAGCTAGGTTCATGATTACTCATACGTTAACCAGCCACACGATTATCTAGTTTAAGTTATTGAATTGTGCTATCCACTCGATAACAACGATCAGCTTATATAGTACCCTAATACATGATGGACTTCTTGTCATAACCAGACAGCTGAAAACGCTACGATTCGACAAATCAAAAACAAAATGGGTTGAATCAACAACTCTCCATTATGGTTTTGAGGATCTTCAATTTTCCAACTCGCTTCACTAGGTGATATTAGAAATAAGTCTAACAGCTTCAGCTTCTCTACCAAACTTCTATTGTGACAAGCGCAGCCTGATTTAAGCAGTTTTAAGCCACGGAATTAGTGCCAGCATCGTGGTAAGCATTTAAATGGCATGATAGGTCCAAGTCTGAAAAAAAAGATAAAACATATGCCGAATCGTGACTGTCAGACATGATCATCATCACCAAGAGATATCTTGAAGATACCCTACTCATAAAGAGAGGGTTGTACAAACTTATGCTAGGCGCCTTTCACCAGTGCAAGGATATCCCGTTGACACTCATCGGGATGATGATGAGTAGAGAGAATTTTCGACAACAATCCTTCAACAAGAATTCACTATGGTATATTGGGCTTGGACGGCATCTTCAAGTCTTCAATCTATAACTAGGAATGCTAGAATCGGCTCCATCTAATCTATGACCCTATATTCCTCCATAGAAAATTGGTGCCAATCCGGTCGAATTATAGTCGTATCAATATTTGCAAGGGTTCCTCGGGCACAATTTTTTCGGTAGATTATTCGAATAGCTCTCAACAGACCATGAGTAGAAACAACTACATATCGACTCTAGGCCCTTATTTATTGCGGACATTTTTGAGAACTATTATTCGAGAGGCTTGGTTAGAGATAGAAAGCATGTATCTAGCTTTCTCAAAAGTTAAGATGAAGCCGATATATTTCCAATCATCTATGCTTCCTCCAGTAACGAAAAGCGGAGGGCAAGACTGAACACCTGTACGCGGTGCCCTCTACGAACCTGGGAGTGAAATATTCTCCCAGAGCCAAGTTCAGTCAAATTTCGCAATACCAAACAAGTTGGCCCACGAGGCAAAAATTCAAATTACTCCACCATGTCAATCTTTCACTCCCAAAGAGTCCGAATCCTATCCAAGCCTCATCAAGTCAACAAGTACGACCTAGTACATCCTCATTCCACTGACCACACCACTCTTCGACTTTCTCTGTCCTTAGCCTGTCACCAAATACACGCCCACGCCGATATTTATACCCGACGGAGGAAGCAAAGCATGGCGCACAAATCTGGGAGACTGTTCTTTGGGATTGGCGTGAGAAGATCCAGGATAAGTTAACAAGATGACACGATGGATGGATACAGTCTTGACCGGGGTGGAATTTTGAATTTTGGCAAAGAGTTTTTACAAACTGATCTTTGTGCGTGCCAAGACTTCGGTTGCGAGGGTGCAGGCGACACTATAAACACCGCCATGGTTGGATGGTGCGGTGGTACATCGTCTTGGCCGATCTGCCAAGTAGAGTCTGGATAGCTTGGACACATATCCCACTCGAGACAGTAGATTGCTGGTTCAAATCCAGCAAGACACAACCACTTTCCTCGCGGCGCTGGTGTGCATGGATGACGAAGGAATGCTTGGATAACCAAAGGTTTCGAAATTCCCTTTGGTGGGTACTAACAGAGGAGGGTCGACTGTTTGTGTAAGCAAGCATACCTCATAGTGGTATTTGCGAATGAAATCCAGAGTATGACTGTCTCTAACGTCAAAAGAGTCATTCAACATGTATACATAGCACCGGTTATGTGTCATAGCTAGATAGCTGAATACACATTAAATGATTTAAAAAAAAGTAGCGAAATGCGGTAGGCCCACTTGGTGCTCAGCTGCTACTATTTCTTGCCTCCAAATAACGCAACTCTCATACAGCCGGCCTACTTACCTATAACAACATCTAAAGTCCAAAATATCACTCATAGATGCTTGGCGAGACTTGGTATACATCATGCTCCTTTCTTTTCATTTTTATTGCGTCCGTAAATAACGACCGACGGCTACGTATTCAAAATTGTTATAATTTTCTGAAATCATATTTCATTCATATGGATCGTTTCCCTTCTAACTTTGATATCTTTCTTTGCTCTAGATTGGGCTATGACTATTCCTTGAGAAGATTAATATCCTGATACCTCCAAATTATTAGTTAATGCTTTAGCTACACTGTCAACGAGAGAAACAGTTTACAAGGCATTATCCACCGGCCACGGACTAACTGGAATTTAATCTCTTGATTCCTTGGGCCCTTTGTCCTTTGCGACAAATTGCATAGTACCCCAATGTCTTCCACGATGCTGGGAAGCTTCTCGACCTAGATCTTGAAGATAATATTCTTCCTCCGGCATTGTCTCTTGTTCGAACTTTGTCTTGAAATCCTGTAGGCCGGGAGAATATGAGCTGCTATTAGATCGACGGCGAATTTTTGTAAAATTGAATCCTTCGTCTTGCACTTCTTCCCCATTAATACCCCTACGATCGCTCCGTCACTAGTGATCAACCACCACTCCTCTGGGGATACTGACCATCCGCCCTTTCCAGCCCCATTCTTCTTTGTCTTCTTCGGGTCAACATCGACGAACCCTGACTTGGACAAGGGGCGTGAGATCCACTAGACTGTGGTATTAACAGCAGCCAGTGATAAACGAAGCTACGCGAGAGAGAAGCTGACCTGATAAGCTCTACCCTTTCCAGGGTTCAGAAGAGGACACTCTGTGTGCGCGTTAGCTTGGCTGACCATAAGCCGATTCTCCCTACCATGATCGCCGTATCGAATGGTTTTTCCCACTTTCGAATCACAATCAGTAGGTCTCCTTACATGCCTGTAAAGCACGTACTGATAGAAGAGAGTAAATGAAAGATTTATTCGAGCGGTGGTAGAGATGTGTAGATAGGAATGGAGAACAACAATTTCTGCTTGAGATGAACTGAAGCCTTAAATAAACTGTTGGAACCCGCATATTAGCCCAAGGTGAGATCGTGTCAACTCCATCTGAGTCCGTCATCGTCAAGTTGCAAGTCAAGTGAAGTGAAATATACGATCCCTGGACCCTGATCAGAGGCAGCCTGGTAAGAGAGTAAGTTGACAGAGTCACCTCATGCCTTCTCTCGTTCAAGATGTCGAGGTCGTATACAACCCGTAGTTATCCAAAGACAATATCGGCAGGCTCGGGTCGGGCACGTTCCTTGGGTATTTGCTTGAGTGCAGTATCTACGGACGAAGTGAGGGCGAGCCCGACGACCAGCCTCGGAAGTCAGTACCGAGTAATTGTGATGGTTTGGCTTTTCTTTATTTTACTACACGAGTCTTGTATTACTTTGCAAACTGTGATCCTCTCTAACGCAAGCCACACACTGTAGGTGCTCCTAACCCTTTTATTACTTGAAAGATCTCTAGTGTATCTCAATTATGGATAGACATTCAGCTCGGCTTGTTTGTTTGTTTATTCCATTTACATCCTGTCTAAGTCTAAGACTATTTTAGGATGTATTCAGCTCGGTATTTACCCGTAGGATCAAAGTAGTGAGTAGAAACGATTGCAAGAGTGGCCATGAATGGTTAAGGCTTTCTTTTCATCTAGAGGTAAGCAACCATTGCAGGCCAGCACCATTCAAGGCTCACATCTAAAGCCTACCGTCTTGTGCCGGGAGATAGCCGTCTTAGTAACCTCCGAGGCACTTACAATGGCGGGCGAGGCTATGTCGGCCCCGCCATTGGCGCGAGGCTGTGCAAGGCCGCGTCCCCTTCGGCGCGGGGCCAAAGTATTTCAGCAGTATTTCGCCGCAAGCCACTTACAACTCTAACTACGCCTGTAAGCCCTTTACGCTTCTCCTTACATCGCCGTCACTTTAGCTCAATTCGTGGGGCCATGATGCCTGCCTTTACCACCAATACAGTACCGGACAGTGCCGCAAAAACACTTCTGCTGGCACCACCGTCGATAGCACGCCATGAAGAACGACTCGCCGCTGCCGCCGCCGGCCATGAGCGGGCCTCGCTCGAAATTCAAATGCTCGACCGCCTCGCCGCAGGTATCGTCACACTGCCGCAGTCACGTTACAACTTGATCCGCATCCTGAGCGATGCTGAGGGTTCGGACGTCGAGACAACGCGCCTCCTCGACCGGCCCCTAATTCATATGCTCGCCGACGCACTCACCCCTCGCGGGCGCCTCGAAAGCCAAGATAGTCGTCTCGTTAACGATATCATGAGCCCCGTATATCGAGAGGCTATTCTCGCCGGCCTCCTCCTCGAGGATGGGCAGCTTGTGAAGCCTGAATCTTCGGAAAGCGAGGCCGTACCTCTGAGAGTACTTGCCAGGCCCAAAGCAACTACGAGTCCAAGAAGCAAAACCCAGACGTTAGAAGGAGTCTTGAAGTTTGATGAGACGACGTCGGCCAATCACCAAGAGCCTCCACCGTATCCCCTCGGTGTAGGATTTGTGACGCCGGATCATGGTATCGATAATGGCTCTCTATCGAGCGAGGACGACGAGGAGCTTATCGATGAGGATACTCTTCTTACCGAAGAGGAACTAAAGAGACCCGTCAATATTCGTACGTACTCCGTCTTTACTCATGTGGACCGAGCCCTAAGCCTTTCATAGCCGCCGCTTGTGCGCCGCGCGCCGGAAAAAGACGACGAGCCTGCAAAGACTGCACATGTGGACTCGCGGCTAAGATAGAGGCCGAGAACGCTGCGAGACGCGTGGCCGCCGATGCTGATCTGCGCACTCTTCAATTTCGCTCTGATGAGCTGGCCGAGATTGATTTCACAGTTCAGGGGAAGGTTGGATCCTGCGGCAACTGTAGTTTGGGAGACGCTTTTCGATGTGAAGGCTGTCCTTACATTGGCATGCCAGCTTTCAACCCAGGAGATGAAGTGAGGTTACTCAATGATGATATTCAGTTATGAGGCGGTAAGAAACTTTGGCTTGATGCAATTTACAGTATCGCGTAGGAAGTCTGAGAGCACAGATAGATCACATGCGAGGTAATGGATGGATAAGCGATACACAATTAACTAGTTTTTTTTTACAAGCCTCGTCCCGGTAGACCGTTTCCAGAAGATTGACGGACGAGCATTAGATGAAGCGGCGTATAACAAGACTTTGAGGGATGGTGTTGGGAGAACCCAGCTGAAACTTGCTGGTTTATTTTGAAACAGGATGGACGTAAGCTACGCGGCCTCCAGAAAATTCACGTTTGTAATCATATACATATTGAACGAGATTCTAATCTTCTGCCCCGGTTCACGAAGAACTTCGAAACAATGACATAACAAACTTAAAGTCAAAACTCCCTGCTAACTACTACCTAGCAGTTGTTTTCTACGTGATTATGCTGCTTTCGGCAAAGTTGTACAAATTTGACAGTGGATATGTTGTCGGGTGTGGCCTCTTTATTACGATTTACTCCTCATGGTGAAGTAAATGCAGGGAAATGGGTCCCAATTTTAGGCCGGGAGGTTTTAGTTATATCGAGGAGCCACTTCTGACCATTTTGCAAAATTTGTAAGGATCTGGAAGCAGCCATGGGCTGCATCCCTTCAATAGTAATCTTACCAACCCTGATTATCGACCATGAGATATCAGGCCCTTTGAACAGCATATTTATGCAGCCTTTGTGAGACAAATCATCGTAGTACAACACTGCCTGCCTGCCTTGCCCTGGGCCGGGCACGACAAAATACTTCAAAGGCATTCCGTCGACGGTAGCACGGTTATGCATGACACTTTCGGCATCCTCAATGCGATGGAAGCGGTGACTTTCTTGTGCGTTAAGACTTAATTCATCAAAAGTAAGTCTTTTTTGCATCTTTGGAGTTAGGCATACGTTACTCCAGAGACGACCTAGGGCACAATAGCTCTGTATGATGGATTTTGTATTGTGCGTATTCCAAGGAAGCATTTTATCTGCTGAAGTTATTTTTCTGGCATGAATCAGCTGTTGGTCGACAGGCGGAACCCATCCCATGTCGTCGAGAGGTGGGAGGAAGATCCGCCGTCGTAGGCCTCGTACGAGCATGTCAGCAGCTAAGGGGGTCAGTAGCTTAAGGAGTCCATCGTATGTACACAAGTCCGGTACCTCTAGCCATGGCTGGGTTTGATCAAGGATAATGCCACGATCAAAACTTTTCATGTCGAGTGTTTGGAGGGTGACACCTGTAAATCGATGGCCAGCTAGCAAGGTGTGCTGTATCGGTGCTGGCCCTCTAAAACTGAGAGGCGAATTAGATGCTGGTAGTTCCAGCTGGATGTGATTTTATTCTTTGGAAGGAACCCACTTTGGCAAGATGGAGGGATGGATATTTAGGCCGCCATATTCAGCTGATTGTAGAATTCGGGCTGGTATGAAGAGGCCGAATGAGACGGCAATGATGAGGTTTATTGTCTCATCATCCGATCGTGGAAGCTATCTTTCCAATCAGAAGCGCGCTCTCGTAGCAAATTTCTCAACTCACCTGCCACCCTCTGAAGGAATCCCGTTCGTGCAAGGGAAGTCCAAGTTGCTCGGCAGCAGCTCTGATGGGAGCTGTGTAGCTGCGCGTCAGCTTGGCTATCCATAAGTCTCGCAAAATACAGCCAACGGACCTTGGAATATCTTATTTAGTCCCCTCCCTACTGGCTTTCCGGGACGGCAGAGTACTTCTATTGATTTTATTAAATTTGGATTCCTTTCTCTTTCCCTTTGAACTGCCTTTAACGAAGAGACGCTAAAATCATCAGAGCCACAGAATAAAATCCGTAGTGGCTTTGACACCTTGGAGATTGAATGGGAGTAATGGTTTGTTTTGATGAGGAGATTAGCCCGCTTATTGAATCTTACTCGAACGGCCTGGGTAAACATTGACGTAGATATGAAAAGTGTTTTCTGCACGCAATAGCTCGGGTTTCAGTAGCTGGAGTTGGCACCACAGTACGATGCTGATCAGCCTTGCTCGAAACCCCTAACGATAGTCTAAATTTCTGCCGATGATTCTCCTCTCATCCTCACGGACTAAACTTCTGGCTTGCTTGTCATAGCGACTTCGACCTTGTATACAAGCTTACCTCGCATTGCGACAAGATTAGATGATTACACTTCCCGAAATACGTCTTGGATCAGGCAACGTGGGAGATTGGGCCTCTGTGGCCAGGGGAGAAACATGTTCAGATGAAATCTCAGGGTCGTCATACGCTCATCATCCGTCAAGAGTATCCCCTGCAGACCTCCAGCTCAGATCTGAATGCCTGCCAAGTGAAGCTTAATTTCCGACCCGTTCGTCTCGGCCAGAGCCTAATCTCATCGCCATGAAACTCGTTTTCAAGAACGTTTTTGGCCCAGACACAAGGAGGACTACCTTGGTACCAAAGGCGATTTAGGTGCAAACAATTCACGCTGTGCCCTCCACTCGCATAATTGGAGTCCATAGAACCCTTGTTCACAGAATTAAGACCAAAAACGCACTAGCGAGAGGATTTTCAAGCGCTAAGGAATTCTACAATTTTCTAATTGTCAAGAAATTAGGTAGGCACAATGCAACTATCCCTGACAACAATCACTCTTGATCATGACTATGTGACAAATCGATAGGAAAATTTATTGTCCCTACCATACAGATAAGAGATGTAGTTTACGCGAGACATTGGAAGGGAGAATGGAGTAGGATAAAAAAGTACCTGCCAAAACTTGAACCATGAAATACTAAGAAAGAAAATATCATGATAGACACGGGTTCATTGTGATTGACCTTGACGGTGCCCATCAGTTCCTGGCGCAATTATCCCGATGACTCTAACCTGACATCAGTCTTCGTTTGGCTATTTGTACAAAAACTTCACGGAAAGTTCCGTAGAGTGTATATCAGATATGGTATCACCTAGTCGCTTACTAAACCCTTCCGGGTTCAGATCATACGGCTCCATATATCCTACCGCAATGTCAAATTCATTTGGACGAAAACAACGATAATTTGGTGTAGTAAAACTAGGCGGAAGTGATTTCAAACTAATTAAACTCTTCCTAACCTGAGGCTACTACTCTCTTCTTTCTCGGCAGTTGTGATAGTTCCAGAGGATTAGATTAGATTAGATTTTATTATAGTCCTGTCTGAGTCTATGACTATGGAGGACTTTTAGGATCTACTAGTTCCAGATGACCTTAAGTTGCCCAAAATTTTTGTCCAACACTTCCGGGCCTCAAACACGATTCAGAGAATTGACTTTGTGCACTTCCGGCAAATATTATTTGTGAACATTCTGAATGATTATTTTACAACGTTGACACAATATCGCCCATTCCTATTGACCATTCCTTACCCTTGTATGGCAGAGATTGGGGCCAAGACTAAATTGAGCAAGGTATATTGTTGCAACTACCCCACCATGTCCGTCCAAGAATGGTAAATTCATGTTACCACCGCTATGACTTAATCATGCAGTTTTTGATATGCAACAGATTCGACCTTGTTCTATTCATTTCCATTCTATCAACTTGCTTCAGAAATCTAGCTGCAAGCCGGTGTGATGCCGCCACCACACAATAAGCCCATACGAGACGTAGTTCCCGCCCAATTAGGGTTCCTAGCCATTTACAACCCATCACTCGGACCAACCGATGAAACTCTCGGGGACCAAATAGTTTACTATTATTCGTCAAAATGGTCGGAGAGAAAGGCGAGACGAAGAGTGGCTAAAAACAAATGTCAAGATGAAGCCTCAAGGCAACAGACCAACGAGAAACTCAGACAAGTTGGGATGGCTCAAGGTATGATTGAATATGGGAGGAACTTTTCCGATGGCAGGTCTCTTGACAGCATTGATACTGAAAGGTCGCGAATTGTTCTTCGGGAGCTGGAACTTGGCTGGTGGGTCCTGGCGGTTAGAAATTCAAGTCCTATCGGGGCACTCAAACTAATCAAAGCATGCAGTCTATCAACTTGACCATTATTCCTGGATCCTCCGATTCCGAGACGGATCCGGCGCAGCAGCATTCAAACAAATATTGCTCACGAGATGTGAAGCCTGCGGTGCTACTTAGCCAGGAGCTTTCCCGAGCTCACTCCATGTTGCTGATGCATCATGACTCGTTGAGTAGTCTCTTTTCACGAAACGAAAGGCTAGTATTCATGGAAATTCTCGAGAAATACTGGGACATGTTCATATCCTCATGGAGTATGCTAATACATGGCAATCCAGTCAAGTATTTATACAATGGGATTAAGATTGCTGCATGTGGAGAGCTCGGGATGGGTGTCGGCGAAGAGCACCGGGGAAGCGGGGAAAGAGACGTTCTCGAAGGATTTCCTGGGCGAGTTGAGGGATTAGTGGATGTAATTGTGTCCAAGTTTGGCGATGATAACGTCCTGCGAGGGGAAGAAAATGACCCCATCAAGAATTCTCTCGAAAGACCTGATCCCGATATCTGGATCGGCGCAGGACACGAGCCGGATGCGAAAGACGGTGTTGTTTACCTTGGAACTGGTGCTCTTTCGCGAAACTCACTCGTAAATATCAGCCACTGGATGGAAGATCTCTATCAATGGGGCATTTATTCATATTCAGTTATGGATAGTAAAGCTATCTCTCACCGGGCACGCAAAAGAATTACTTCATCGTCATCAGGAATAAACATACCAAAGAATAGGAGCAGGACAGTCCAGCCAAGTAATTCTAATCTTCACTCTAACAATCCTACATCAGACGATTTAGGGTTGTTGGGTCGAGAGATGGGTAAATCATCTCGTCGTAGCACGACCACTGAAAATTTAAAGCCAATAAAAATTGATAGAAACCATGTCAACCTTCCATTGCCAAGGCAGACCACCAGAAATCTAACTGAGACAAGTGATGCTGGAGACACCAGCAGTAACCTGATTCATTATCTGAAACTTGGCTTTGGTACATATTGGTCTTTTGGAGAAGGTTTAGTTCATGAAAGAAGGGACAGCACTTGCGGTGAAGGAACAATTCCGAGCTCAGGTACCTCAAAGACTGTAAATGTTAATGAGAGCTCGAATGCAACATCAACTGCATCCAATAGTCCACCCCAGGCTACCAGCTACTTTTTGGCAAGTAAGCCGAGTGACGTGGATGATTTCGGCGAAAGCCAATCAAGACTAGGGGAAAATAAGGCAGTACAAAATATGCAGGTCTCGAAATCACTGACACGCCATTCAAGGTTCAGCCTTAGAACCCTGCTACTTGAGCGAGGAGATGATATTGACGGAAGTAGAGTCGGGCCTGAAATTTGCGTTGACCGACTTGGTGGTAGCGAAATATCCCAGTCAGCCTCTCCAGATGCAGATACTTCCGAGGCCCCTTGTAAACACAACCACGGAAGGCGGGAACACTTTCAAGCTATTGTCTACGTCAACAGGCCCTTCATCTTTCTTTTTCTTTTTGAACAACACACGAAAATATCAAGCATGATTAATCTCTATGAGTCTCTGCATCATCAAATACAACCAATTATCAAGCCTTTATCTAGTTCTACCATGTACAGGGCAGTAAGACCCGAGGTGGAGACATCTGGCATGCTCAACACCCCCATATATGACATGGTCTGGGACGCAAGGTCGAGAAAAATCATGTCAAACATTCCGAATATACCCAATCCCGCCGAGGCACTTTACTCCAGCTCCGGTCCTCTTCCCTGGGGGCGAAGCGAAGCTATCAATGTTCACATACAAATTATTAAGGCATATACTGCTGGCCATGATGATGCTCGCCAGGTTGAAAGGACATGTAAGACTGACCGAGACTGGTGGATATTTTGGGCGCGAGTTCCCTTTCCGCCTCACTCAAGTGCACGTGCTTCTTCCATCAACGCCACTAGTACTGACGGGGTCGTGGCTACAGGGAGTGGGAAAAGTGCGATTGAGTACATTGCAGGCGTTCACGCACCAAGCCCAAATGTCAATGGCTTTAGTCTTAGCACCGGATGGGAACAGGCTCGATGCGGGCGAAGTTCAGCACGAACGGAGCGAGAAGTAATTCTCTTGCGGAGGTCGAGTGAGGTTGCAGCCAGGTCGGTCAGTAGGTTCGCTAGTGGTGCTTCGGGCATGGGATCCGAAGGGCAGTCGACGTTGGGGCTGATAGACATTGGTCAGGGGATGGGGTTTGATAGCAGGCGATATGTGGAATACTTGATGAGTGTAAACACATGAATGCCAACCTAGTGCGCCTTGGCTGTATGGGGGTGGGTGATCAAATGTGTGTAGCAGTCTTTGGAGTCTTACGGGTGCAACCTTGATCGACTCGGGAGTACAAGTGGGGTGTAGGGGAGGAGGACGGATGACGAGACGTGATTCCGGGTAGATAAGCAGATGGACAATGTAGAGGTAGCGGATCTCGTATGGTAATGGTAGCTTCTCTCCAATGCGTCTCTGCGTCTCGCACCAATGAACACGATGCGCCACTCACTCAGCCCGTCGGTGATAGTCTGATAGTTTAGGCCCCATGGAACAGTTATCTGCGGTTGCGGGGAGAGGAGGCGTGCCGGGCCTAAGCCTTTCCGCAGAGATTTTGTTCCTGCGCCGGCAAACGATAGAGCTGAGCGATTACTGGAGCGAGGCGCTGAAGCGTAGAATTCGTGGATTGGCCGGGGTCGGGTGGGGGGACGTAGGTTTGTCATGGGGACGTGCGCAGCTGACGCCATAGGGGAGAGGTCAGGGCAGCATCGGCGGGAGCGGCGATTTGCTCATTTGCCAGGCCCGATGCAACCACGGTTCCTGACGAGGGGGTGAGCGGGCGGACGCATGACGGACGGATACAGTTCCACGCCCTCTGTGGCCGCGCCGCTGAATTTGCCAGTGCAGGGCCACGGCGCCGGGCCGGCCGCGACACCTGCGTCCGGTCCGGCCTTCCCCGACGCGCACTTAAAGGGGCAGCGCTGCAGATTCTATCACTTCACCCTGCGCCCGCCTGGAACTCTCGAGGTGGGGAGGAGGCGGACGATGTGGTTGGCAGCGGCTTCAGATGCCAGGGGAACGCCGTGATTCGCACGAGGCCTAGCGACCAAGGGCGGCTCATCGGGGCAATCTCCGCCTGCATTTTCGTCGATGGCTGGCCCAGGAACTCGCGCGCGTCGGGAAGTTGGAGGGGCTGCTGGTCCCCCTTGGCTGACTGGCATGCCAACCACAGTTCATCCTGGCCGGTTTCTCGAGCTGACAGAGCAGCAGCTAGGACATGTCTGCACAGAAGCATCGGGCCTCGTCCGTTTCAGGGCAGCGCGTCGCCGGCCAGAGCGGCTGCCAGTCCCAAAGGGAGGAAAGAGGGCCCTGCGAGCACCAGCAGTGTAGGGCCGCCGTGGCCTGTCCCTCCCCACTGTAGCCCCGAGCCCAGTAACTCGGCCCCGACTTCCCTGCCCTTAGGGCTGCGTAGCCAGGGCCCCGATCATATCCTGGGCTGGGAGCTTCTCGAGCCGGCACACGTCGTCCTCACCATCAGCGCCGGTCCATATAAGACCCACACTTCGCCCTTTCTACATCTTCACATTCCTTCCTCCACTTCAATTTTCTCCGTCTTCTATCTTCCAGCTGTCTTTCCAACATTCCTTTGTGCCGCTTCTCTTCGCCACGCTGCTCCCGCTCCAGTTCGACACTGTCTACCTCTTCAACCTTATTCCATCCATCTCCCTTTGTCTTCATCCAACCTCTCGTCAAGTCTCTACGACTATTCCATCTCGCACCGATCCACATTTAGTCAATTTATTTTCTCAACTTCATTCGCGGGCATCATGAAATCTGCAGTCTTCTCCTTAGCTGCCGCCGCCCTCGCTGCCATAGCCTCGGCCCAGCCCCACCGCCACAGTCATCGACACATGGCTCAGCACCACAAGCGTGACGGTAACACACCCGTCGTCTGGGTCACCAAGCCAGAGGTCAAGGTAGTCGATGTCACAACCACTGTTTGGATAGCAGCTGCTGAAACCGAATCGACTTCGATGTTAGCCGCTTCCGCCGTTGTGGCCCCTGCTAATCCCACCGAACCCAGTCCAATTGAAGCTGAGCCCACTGGTGTTCCTTCTGAAGAGGATGATGGCGATGAGCCCTCACTTCCAGATGTGCCCTTCCCAGATGAGCCTGATCTCGATCTACCCACGCCAGGCGACTTGGAGCCCCAAATTCCCTCTTCAACCGACCCCGAAGCTCCTTCTCCATCCGATCCAGCACCAGAACCTCTGGCACCTCTCAATCCAGAGCCCGCCACTCCCGCACCTGCTGAACCAGAAGTGCCAGCCCAGCCAGCTCCTGTTCCCGCAGCTCCAGCCAATGAGACCGATGTCAACCACGCCCCCAAATTCGCTGATAGCATGACCGAATTTGCATCTGGCAGCTCATGCTCTGCATCCTCTCCTTGCTCTGGTGATATCACCTACTACGATCCTGGTGTCGGCATGGGTGCTTGCGGATGGCAGAGCACCAAAAACGAGCCAGTAGTAGCCCTCCCCCATCAGTTCATGGGTGCCCAATCTAACGGAAACCCCTACTGTGGCAAGACAGTCACCATCAAGCACGGCGGCAAGACCAGCACGGCAAAAATCGTGGACAAGTGTATGGGCTGCAATGGATTCTCTATCGACCTTAGCGACGCAGCCTTCACACAATTATCAGCCCTCAGCGTCGGACGGACCGATGCAACTTGGTGGATCAACAATTGATCATTCTTTGGATAGAATACACAAACCCTTTACTTCACCAAAAGATTGCTGGCCAATTGTGAGGCTGCCACACGGCATTGCTTCAGGGGTATATGGTGTCTGGGACCTTTTTATGAGTTGTTGCAAGACTATCCTGCGGATAGTATGGTGCCAGGAGCACATTTCACGATGACGTGAGATTTTCATGTAAATAGATTTGGTACCTTTTAGTTCTGCAATCTTATTCTATCCGATCCCGCTCGTCTGCATGCTAATTTGCCTGCACCTCATGTAACATCGTTCTCTACCTGCCGATCTCGTAACCCTGGCGTACCCATGCTCCAATGTCATGCCCCTTTTGCCTCTCTCCTATCAAAGCTGCAGCTTGCATTCCTAAGTTTGTGTCCGATGCGTAGAGGATCCCCTCCATTACGACGTACGAAGATAAAAATGCTGCAAGGACAACGTTATGGCGCTGGCGTTTCTCTGACGAGAAGATGTGTTCGCATCCTATGCCATCGAGAAGGGGGCTGAACCAAAGTCACGTGTCTCATAAAATGATCAGTTCGACATTACGAGGCTGAGTCAGATTATATTTAATTACGACAGGTCGTGCTCCAGGCGCGGGGGGGCCGAGGAACACGCAACCTCGATCATCATGCCGTCATCTATGCCTCCTTGTTTACGATGGTAAGCTTCCTCCAGCTCATTAAATAGTTTACTACAGTTCGCCAAGGAGCGAGGCAAGAAGCCGGGCCTTTTCCTTCTTCGTGGCAACTTCAAGCTCCTAGAGTACACAAGATTAGTTGTGTTTTCCAAAATCGTCAGCGGTCCAAACCTAACTCACCGTTTCAGAATGCTTCATCTTTCGCAGAGCTTCACATCCGGCTTCCTCCAGCGAAACCTCAAACTCAGCGACTTTGGTTCGTAGTTCCAAGTCCCAGAGCGACATGGTATTATGGAATCCATCATGAGCAGGCGCCTCTAGCTTCCCAAAGGGCCGGGGACCGAAAACATCGATACCGAGCCGCAAATACTCTATCTGTAATTTATCCCACTCTGCCCAATATTTTTCCAGATTCGCCTTTTCCCGCGCCAAGATTTTGCCAAAGCGCTGTAAGCAGGCACCGAGATGCTCCTGACTGGACGCTTCAGAATCCTTCGGCTCCAAGGCCACAGGGCGCGCGAGTAGGGGTACGCTGAGTCTAGATAAATTCCTTGATACCATCGTGACAAACTCTTGATCTATCTGCTTGGTTGACTCTAAGCTCTTCACGTGACTCTTCCATGTAGCGTCAAATGTATTTTCGGCCGTGCGAGTGAGTGTATCGCCGATTTTATCAAACTCGTCTACAGCTGATTAGTTTCGTCACTCAGTGAGGCTACTAAGAATCCCACCCTCTAACTCATCAATTACTGTTGCTGCTGGACTTAGCTCCCGGCGCCTCTTTCGGTTACGACGAGCCGGTTTGGAGGTTTTAAAGATTTTGGCGATTGACACAGTTGGGCGGGTAGGTTTTGACTTGGTTTACTTAGCATGAGGTTATTGGAGAGAATCTGATTAATCTACCAATTCTGCCTTCGGAGACCGCTGCCGTAAATTCGAGTCGTGCTGGGGTGCAGTTTTGGAAGGGCGCGCCATGGAGCCGTTGGTGGAGAGAAAAAGTCAAGGTGATGAAAGTGTCAACAAGCTCTCAACTATTCCTGCCGCCTCCCACAATTGGGAGAGCAGGAATGACGCGAAAGGAAGGAGGTCTCTAATAGCTTGGTAACTGGCTCTTTCCACATTTGCCATTTCTCCATGCCTGGTGATGATGTGACCCACTGGCACCTTAATGCAAGGCTATAGGAGAGCCTTACATCTTGGCGTGCTCGGCAAGGCGTCCATGACGAGTTGTCGCGGCCAGAAATTTACAGTCCCAAATCAGCATACTATTTATCGTCATGTTTATCAGACCAGTTCTATCGTCGGTAATCACAAACAATGCTTCTTGAGTAACTGTTATACTGACATTGACGGCCTAGGCCTTCCGTCAGGCCACGCGTCCTGCCTCTCGGATTCTTTTCCCGAGTCCCAGACGTTGGCTTTCAGATCAAACCCGTGTCGCCATAGAAAAGGCAATTGCCTCTGCACCCGTAGTACTCTTCATGAAGGGTACACCAGAGACGCCTCTTTGTGGATTTTCGCGCGTTAGTATCCAAGTACTTGGTATGCAGGGCGTGGACCCCACAAAATTCACTGCTTTTAATGTCCTCGAGGACGAAGAGCTGCGAGCCGGTTAGTTGGTTCCTGTCGGATGCGAGGATTAGTAGGTGGGGCTGATATGTGTCTCAGGTATCAAAGAGTTCTCTGAATGGCCTACTATACCTCAGCTATATGTTGACAAGGAGTTTGTCGGAGGTTGCGATATTCTCCTCAAAATGCACCAAGATGGGCAATTAGCCAAGATATTCGCAGAGAAGCAGGTGCTAAGTTTGGATGATGGGCGAGACACTCAAAAATAGTCTCCTCTTTCAGAGTATAAAGAATCACGACGTAAAAATACCTTAAGAATAAGTAATAGATTTTCCTTTTGGACTTGAATGCGGGTCTATAATTGGCTCAGGATACCGTTCAGACCACCTGCAACAAAGATTTCATGCTGATGTGAGAAATTTGGAGCCTTTACTTCCGCCTAATGTCGTGCTCCTTCCACGATTCGAAGATGGTGATATTCCGAGTGAGGACAGCCTTAACGATCCATTCAGACCGTTGCAGAAACCATTGAAAAATTCCCAAACCATACGAGCCAGTTCTTCTATCTTCTAAAACATCAAATTTTTACTGAATTTCAAATACCATCCTCAAGCACGTTGTAGCACACCTCGACCCCTTGCAAGCTGACCATCGGCCGTGATCAGAGCTTTCATGCCGTCTATCCAGCTGTGCTCCTGCATCACCTAATTCCCAGCTTCTCTTGACCCGGACCAGCCCCGTATCGTTGTGGCCAACTGATTTATATTTTAACGTACCAGGCACAAGTCCTGCACCTATGTTGAAATGATACGGTTAGTTGATCCTGAAAGAATCAAAGTTACCAAAATGAACTATTCAAAGCGTACTAGGAAGAAACATGAAAAGATAAATAGGGTGGATCCGGTGGGCAAAGATTAAGAACGTGTCCGCGGAGTCTACAAATCTATTGGTGATTAATACCCCCGAGCATAATTCTATTGAATTGTGAAAGAAGGGAGAGTTAGCACTCGAGGAAATGATTTGAGTCTCCATATATTATCAATTTCTTTTTATGCTTTGACGGATGTTTGAACTTGGGTGGATGCCTAAGCGTAATGTTCAGAAATTTTGCTACAAGGCTACATGGAAGGGGATTGACGAAGTTGAACGAATCAATAATACTAGACAGGAAGTTGGAGCGCTGTTACATCCAAATGACATCTAACAATAAGTGGCAAGGTAGCAATTATGATGTCCGGAGGGAGGCCATCAGTAAGTACATTCCTAAAGTGGATCGGTTGTTATAAATACCTGTGAGTAGCAGCTAGAATTATCTTTACTACTCTTAAAGTTTAATAAGTCGACTTATACACCACTGAATCAGTTGCCGTCATACTTTCATCGCAAACAAGATCGTATCCGACCAAAACCTCAAAAATTCTTCAATTAAGACCTATTACATGCTTGTTTTAACAATTTCACACCTTGAAGGGGGACTATTCTCAACACCTGTCAGTGGTGTCCCCTACGAACCTCCAGCTCTCACTGTAGAGTCTGCAGAGCCGAGATTGAGTAACAAAGTCCTCACTTCGAAGAGGATTCCCAATCGCTTTCGCGGTCTGTATCGTCTTCATCTCTCAACACATTCCCCTATCACCACTATCATGAAGCTAACCACGATCAGAGCAGATGGTAGGGTCGGAGCCCTACTCGTCACCCACCCTTGATCATGGAGGAAAAGCCATCCGATGAGTTTCCGGAGCGTACCCAGCACCCGATACGGAGATGGTGGATTGGATCAAGTCGGCCTCGACTGTTACAAAGAAGGGAGATATAGATGAATATGCGCATCTCATGTGGTCCCGGTGTCTAGGCCTCGCCTGGCTGGGGCTGCAGGTTTTTTGAGACTTTTTCCCGCGCACGCAGTTTCCATTGCTACCATTTTTATTTTTTTTGGGTAGAAGGTTCCGTGGAAAAGGTGGCTGAATTCCACGGGTAAATACTGAGCTGAATGGCTATTCATCAAGGGGAATATATCAATGATCTTTCAAGTAACAAAAGAGGATAGGAGCACTGTACAAGGTGTGGCCTGGGTCAGAGAGGAGCCCAATGTGCCAGATAGTCATAGACTCAAGTAGTACAATAAAACACACACACACCTTGAAAACACGGTCATTCGCCTTGGCTGGCTTCCCAATACCCACAGTAGAGTTAAAATTGTGGTGCACAAATTTCGGTAATAGATCTGTCATGTACGTGAAAGGGATTAGGGTAAGTGGATAACACCATGCAAAGTATAGATAAATCTTGGAAATGGATTGAATCTTTAAATTTTGCTAAGAGTTTTACGATCTGAAGAGCTTTGTGCGTGTGTTGTAAATACAGCTTTTTGCATTTTTTTCTATCGACCTATGTGGCTGCATACATCTTGCCTGAACTGTACCGTGTGGCCACGGCGCCAAGTTTGCAGTGGGGCTCCGGCAGGGGTTTAAGCGTGCAAGCTAGCACTCCTTAGGCATAGTCACCTTCCATATTGAAGTTAGCCCCCGTATTTGTGCAAATTTTCGAAAAAAGTTGTGTGGGTCTCGATCGATCACAATTGAAACAGGATGGTGACAAATATAACTCTTGGCTCTACTACAGCTAGTTCCGCAGAATGCAATAGTTGGGCTTGAGTTCTAATAAATTTGTCTATGTTTCTTCCTAACTCCCAACTCCGAAATCTACACTTTGTGCGTAACTCACTAATTATGGGCTAACCGCATTTAGTAGTCTATGTTACATAAGGTAGCCTGCTACGTTTAGTATCCACAGTTGTATGACAAATATCATCTGGACACAATCTTGTCTCGTTTTGTTCATTTACGTGCAGTCAAAGTGATTCCCGTTGCACTCCTACTGGACCTTAAGCACGGGTGGGGCGGGGCTGGATCAGGTTAACTACCATTAAGTACATCTACCTCGTCACACTTGAATGATCGGACCACCTCAGAATTCACCTATGTGTTGAATCATGTCAAGCCCAACCGTCTAGGGAACCCCCTTTTAGCGCCGAAGCGCAAATTCCTACTCAACCTCGGCCACCACTCGCCCGAGCCCATGACACCTTCGCCATCTGTAACTTTTCCCTTCGGTTCATTCGCAGCTTTGGCTCATCTCAGCATCTCCTCGTCTCACTCAGGGGTCGTTTTCTTCACTGGAGGCCTCATCCAGTCGCCCACCAAGGCCTCCTCAGTTTACATTCTCTTTTGGTTCCTTCGTACAGCATCCCTCTGTCCTTCAGCCGATCTCGTCATCCCAGAAACTTTATAGAATGTCCACCTCTCCGGCCTTGCCCAGTCGCTGCCGTACCCCTAACCATGGAGGTCGAAAGCGCGACTGAGAGCTCAAGACCGAGGCACAGGTTCCCCAGCCTTTGTCGAACTCTCAAGTTAGCGTGCCGACGAAATGTTGTACGTATTTCGTCGGTGGCGATTCGTCGTAGGTCGAGTTGTTGGTGCCCTTGGCCGAGGTGAGGACGCATTTAAGGCCGGTATTTCGACCGTACCTTCACAGCGACTGGCAGTTGCGTAGGTTCGGACATCCTCTCGCTTTTTTAATGGCGATTTGGCTTTTGGAGGTATGGGATTGCTTTGGTAGGTGTTGAGATGATTGTTGAGAGGGCCGCGAGATGAGTTTGGCTAGGAATGATTTTCCAGAGAAGTAGAAAATAAGATGTTGAAGGTGTCGGTTGTTGTGATACGAACATCAGATAGGTTATAGTCTGTCTGCAGTTCGAATCTGGGGTGTAGATGGTTGATTTCGTTGAGTTGTGCAGTCGTGAAATCTCTGCTAGTCGGATTTTCGACCAAAAATGAGCCAACACCACTCCTCCCGATCGCCAACTCGACGAAAACTCTCAAATCCATCCTTTGTCGTGACTGAATCTCGGCTCTGGGAGAATATTTCACTCCCAGGTTCGTAGAGGACACTTGTAATAGGTATTCAACCTTCGTCCTCCTGTCTGGACACCATAGTTTGCAGTGGGTCTTTCTTCGTACTAAACCAAATTGGTATAATGATCGGCTGCATAACATTTATGCATTTTAGCTTCTTGATTTTATAACTTATTTACAAGAGTTTAAAGGTTTTCGAATTACAAAATAGAACCACAGTCTTATCCTAACCTTGGATCTGAACGTGAGGCTGGAATATTTTCAGGCCTTAATATCTGGTTGAACCCCCATCCGCATCTACCACAGCCTGACATCTTGCTGGCATACTCTGAATGAGTCTCACAAGATCTTTGGAAGACACCGAATCCTATGCCTCCTTTACAATCTTGCAAAGAATATCTTGAGTTCGCTGCTTTCCGCAACCCAGAATTGGATGATGACGCTGCATGTAATCCTTCATCTTATTCCAAACAGCTTCAATCGGGTTAAGATCAGGCGAGTTGGCCGGCCAGAAAATCTGTTGAACAAGCCTCTGGCTCCTATGTTCCATTGTACTTACTGCTGTGTGGGCAGGAGCATTATCCTGCATTACGGAAAGCCAAGGTCTCATCGAGACTTTGCCATGGATAAGGGGAACTATCTTCTCGCAATATTTTTGGGAGTTAATGGAACCCCATTCATTCTCCCAAAACAAACAAGGGCCTTTTTCTGGCCCTGCAAAGCAACCCCAGAACATCCATCCGTTCCTATTCTTCTATTTTTCTTCAATACAATCAGCGTTGTGTTCTTGGGAAGTCTAGCTCATAATGTTAGAGCATAAAACTACCATCTTCTTATTGAGGAATGTACGAACACTTCTTGTCACCTATTATCTAGAATGTCTTCCATCCTCTACCCAAGTTTCGTCTGTCCATAAAACTGACGTCCAGTCTTCATATGTCCAATTGAGATGAGATTCGGCCCATTCTGTGCGTGTCTTCATAGTTTTCTGAGATACTGGAGGCTTTAGACGAGCCACACGTCGCTGATATCCTTCTTTTTAAGTTCTCTTTGTATTACCCGCTCGCTTACACCAAGATGTCTAAAGGGGCCAGAGGCGAGTTCCAGAAATGTTTTGCGGCGGTTTCCAGGTGAAGACTCAACATAAGATATAATCTGATCAACATCATCTGCTTTCAGCCTTGAGGATGTTCTTTTTCTCTTTTTGGGGGAGACAGTTCCGAGGCGCAGTGAATAACTAACTTCTCCCCGAGAAATGCCTAGCTGCGCGGCAATCTGCGTCAAGTTTTTGCCAGATTCATGAAGCCCATAAATCTTAATTTTTCTTTTAACTTATATTTGTTCATATCTAATTT